CTTATTCCTGCGTCTTTTGTGATCTTATAAAGCTTCAAACGACACGTAGACTATTAAATTAGTTGTCCACGATTTTAATAGTTGACGTAATCTATCTCACACACACACACACACACACTCAGGTTGTCTTTGTTAGGCCTTAATTGTACTTTGCAGGGGCGTAAACAACAAAGCAGAGTGCAACAACAGTCTGCATGTCTTTTGGCAAAGAAGAATAACAAGCATAAAATCATTTTAGGTTATTTCCCCACCATTGTCACAAAATACCATCAGAGCATTCTGTGCAAATGATAAACTGTTTAATTATTTGGAGACAAAACATGTTACGGAGCCTTCAATTCGTCCAGACCAGCTTGGCACAGAGAAAGGCAGTCTGAACTTCAAGCCTATCCAAGCTACTATAGGGCGAAACACTATGGACAGAGTGCCAGCAGCACAGACAAACAACCGTTCACACTCATATTTACACCTATGGACAATTTAGACTCACCAGTTAACCTAACTCCACTAAGTGAATGTCTCTGGACTGTGGGAGGAAGCCACACAGACGCAGGGACAATCTGTCTGATATTACGATCAGTTTGAAGATCTGAAATGTGTGACGAATATGAGATGAGAAAATAAGGAATCAGAAAAGGTGCAGGTACTTTCTCAGAGTGCTGTATTATTGAATCAGTGATTGATCTCTCTTCTCTTCCAGAGAAAATGATCAGCAGTGAGGCACTGGAAGGCGTTCCGCTCCTTGTGCTGGCTAATAAGCAAGATGTACCGGTACCTGGACTTTTCATTCATACCAAGCATTCACTCATTACACATGCACTGGTATTCAATACCTACTGCACAATCCACTTCGTATTGTCTCTGTCCTAACTTTGTGTATTGGACATAGATATAGTTAGTAATAGAACCTTCTTATCTCTTAATTTTACCCAAATTTAGCGAGTTATTATTTATTTGTAATTTCTAGTTTTATATCTCTTGGAGATGTATTTTTTATATTCTCATAAATACACCATTGAGGTGGTTGGGGTGAAACAGCATTTCGGGACGCTGTACACTGTGTGTGTGTTGACAATAATGACCTAGAATCTTGAACTTGGTCACTGCCTTCAGTCTTGTGTATGTTCTTTTTCTCAGAACTGTTTGTCGGTGCCCGACATTAAAACAACCTTCAGTGACTGTGCTCCAAAGATTGGCAAGAGAGACTGTTTAGTCCAGCCTTGCACTGCTCTCACAGGGTAAGACTACAACAGTTTTAAATGATGACTTTGTTTGCAACAGCTTGCTCTCACACAGGATGCAATGTAGCATTGTGTTTTTATTTGATTCAATTACAGTGAATGCAAATTTGCATCAATTTAAGTTTATGATCACATCTGTTAATAGACAAGGACTGCCTTCAACAATTCAAATAATAACATTGCATCAAACATTTTCTCACATTTAATTACAGTCCCTTCACTTAAAATGCAAAAACAACCACAATGTGGTGATTTCCAAATATTAAAATCCTAAATTTAATTGGAAATAGTCAAAAGACCTTTTTGTAATGTTTTCATTTCATTTTCAAAGTGTGCCAGAGGGTTTTAATGGTTGACAGGTTTGCACTTCCAGCAGCAATAATGGGGTCAAAGTTCCTCGTGCCACGATCAATAGCAGAAAACTGCACCATCACAGATTCTTCTGAACTGTAAGATGGATGGTCATCCTTTTTTAACAAGGGTGGATGTTTCAGAATGTGATTGCACAGCCCTCCTTTTCCTCAACCCAACTTAAATGAGCTTGAGCCTCAGAGAAGACATTAGCATTTGTTTTTGTTCGTCTAAAGTCACATTAGTGGATGCTGTGGATTTCACAAGTAATTCTCAGCAGATGCAGTGATTTCCACTCTGTCTGTTTTTAAAGTAACATCCCAGCTGTTTAGCTTTCAGCCTTGTCCTTTCTGTGAAGAAATATTTTGCACCGTTTTGAGTTCAGTCCTCGTTGTTTACTGTTGTCTGCTTGCAGACTGGTGAACTGGCCCATCTTCATTTTTCAAAGACTCACCTTTTTCTAGCCAGATCATTGCTAAGTAGCTGCTGTTGGTCCGGGCAGCAGCTACAGCAGTATTAAATTCAAAATGAGCGTATATTAGGAAATGCCTTAGTTTTAACGTTTCATGTGTTTTTGTATTGCTTTCAATGAAATGTTAGTCTTAAATAATTTCACACTCTGTAGATGTTAAAAGAAATATGAAACAATCTGCTTGTTCCGTACAGGGACGGGGTGAACGAAGGCATTGAGTGGATGGTGAAGTGTGTGGTCAGAAACATTCACCGGCCACCGAGACAGAAGGACATCACATAAGATGTTTGTCATCTTTCCACTGTGATTTTGGACGAATTTCTCCTTGAGGACATTCCATATGTTAAGCCCTGGAGCTGATAACTCTCACCTTGTGTTTCCTGTGACTCTTTGGATTTCTGCTTTTTGGACTTCATCATAATGTTTTTATCCACAAACATAGATTCAGATGTACTGTGAGCAGACGTCTGCCTGTTTGTGCCTACACTTTTTGAAGGTGTGTCGTTTACTTTTGCTGGGATCAGTGCTGCAGCGTCTATATGGAGCACTTTGAGTGCACAGGAACACTGACACATTAAATATACAAGCATTGATGGGCGCTATTTTTTCACACTATCAGATTCAATAAACAATGATCCGTGTTTTTTTGATGAACTTAACGATACTGCAGTATTCCATCATTAGAACCTTTAACATATAAACAGTTTACATTTAGCTAGGTTGGTCTCTCTTTTTTGTCATTAGGCATAAGACAGGAATTATTAGTTATTGATCCGTGCTGTCCTTACACAATTTTCAGCATTTGGAAAGAGTCACTGTAAAGTTAGCATCCACTTCTGACATTAGGAATTTAGGAATTGGCTTTTTATGAACAATTCCTAATCCTCCGCTGGTGATGTGCCTGTATCACAGTTAAAAACAGAGCTGTACTATACTAGTATTGCCCAGTTGGTTCCCACAGGTAAACTTTGAAATATCATTAGCTGTAACCTTAGTCTTTCATCCTGTGGTTCAATTCCAGCTGTTTCAATTTCAGAGTTATTTGTTGCAACTAACTTGACCAATAGAGATAATAATGAGTCAAATAAGTGCACAAACCAATCCTACCACAAATATGAATCTTTTGCAAACACTATTGCTCTTCCAGTACAAATGTGTATCGGTGTAGTCAGTTTGATAAAGAGAATTACATGAATGATAAACTCTTCACAGTTACCACATCACGGCCCAGTTGTCAAATGACGGAAGAGTTTGGACAGACATTTCTTTGGGAAAAATGTTCCTGCTGAAAGACTTTCAAAGACTTCGAGAAGCTGACCACGCACTTCTCTGTGCTGTTTGTTCTTCTGGTCCCTGCTTTATGTGTTGATTTCATACCATAACTATCATTTATTTAAGTTAGACAAACATGTTCAAATTGTTCAGGTGCCACTTTAACTGTGATCATGGGATTTTTAAATCTTTGCATGCATTATTTTTTTTTTTATCACTATGCATTTAGATTCCCATGACTATTAAAAAGAAGAATTCTTGATGAATAAATGGGGACAAAGAACTTTTGATTTTTCCAGTCTGTAAATTTAAAATCCCAGTAATGTGAGCATAAAATTAATTTGGTCTAACTCTTGAAAGAAGAAAAAAATACTTTTCTAATAGTTTCTTATACATGGATGTGGTTTAGCTCTAGCACCAAAGGATCAAACATCAGTTTGCAGGAATACTGTAAATGATTTAATAAATCGATATGAAGTTTATAAAGTCAGGACACTGAAGTCTTACTAATCTCTGCCGAATCAATGTCAAAGCAGATATTTGTCATTCACTTTTTCTGCCAGTCACTTATACTTTATGATAGATGATTCTACTAAATTTCTCATTTTAATAAAAAATAATGTGTCATTTGGGATAGTTTAACATTCAGCTTCCTATCAGTCCTCATACTGACCTTCACAGCTGTGAAGGTAAATTTGTTTGTCACTAGCTCAAGAACCACAGCTATTCCTGTCATAATTGTTGATTCTCATTGCTGATGATCGCAAGGTTCAACACCATCAGAATCAATGTCATCTATCTCAGTATCACCTTTCTTTGCTTTTTGTTTTACAGGGTTTTTACATTACAGCTTAAAAAAATCAAAATATTTCTATCAACCTGATTCTTTTAGTCCTCACGCTGGACAGAGAAGACGCTGACTCAGTGTATTCAAAATATATTCAATCACTTTATTCAAAAAAACCCTCTGGAAAGGAGATGTGCACAGCGCGAAACCTCCTGCAAATCTAAAGCTTCACCGACAAGATATGCGATATAATCTACACCCACACTCCTGTCTGGCTTTCATGACCCGAAGGTCGTCTCCTGTTGTTATCATCTAGCAGCAGAAACATGAGTTACAATCTCTGAAAGGTCTGCATTAAAGACCCTGTTTATCACAGTCTCATGTCGCCAAGCAGTCTAATAGAATAGAATAGAATTCAACTTCACTGTCATTGTGTTAATAGACCTGTTATTAAGGTGCACGGGCCATTGATGGGGCTGGGTGGTGGTATCCCTGCCCTGGTTCAAAGAATTGCCCTTATCTAGGGTTTTAGTGCACTCTAGCATCACTGGGCCGTTCGCGACGTTTCGGCATGTTTTTGCCTTCTTCAGGCCGACCCAGTGTGTCTTGTCTTTGTCTTTCTGTTTACCTCCCTTGGCTTTCTATACTTGTGTTAGTTCCATCCATTTGTGTTTTCATTTGAAAAATTCTTTCTTAGTTTTTGTGAAACATTCTATTTTTCTTACTGTTTTTCTCTTTGTTTTTCACTTGTTTTCTCTTTGTTTTCTTTCATCTCTTTGTTTGTCTTTGTCTTTTAATGGCACCCCCTGTCTTTTTTGACATCCCGTCCTTTCTGTGCTTGTCTTTCTATATATATGTGACTTCTTGTCTTTTTGTGTTAGGGACCCCACCCCATGGTTAAGGTTAGGAATAAAGTTATAGTTAGGGATAAGGTTAGGTTTAGGGCTGCAACACATGGCTGAAACGTCTATTATGGTGGGACGTCATTCCACTGGAATTCAGCCATAACCCGGCATGGACCATGAGAAAGCACGTCCAGCGATTTAGCTGAAAACATCAGAAGATCCGTTTTGTCGGCCATCCAAAGGTTCAGCAGTAGTGCACTCTTAGCAGCTGCAGTCTCCACTTCACAATCGCTGCAGCACATGTCCAGCAAAATCGCTGGACATGCTCGTAGGCAAGAAGTGAAGCAGAACATGGCGGGGAGAAGTAGGGATGGGTATCGAAAACCGGTTCTTGTTGAGAACCGGTTCCCACTGTTTCAATTCCTTGGAATCGTTTGCCATTTTTGCAAACGATTCCCTTATCGATTCCAGTCGCCCCGAATGACGTCACCACGTTGCGGAGCGTCATTTACCTGGCAGGAAACACGGCGCCTAAGCGGCTCAAACGCTCAAAAGTTTGATTATACTTTATGAGAACCGATGACAACAGGGCAACTTGCAAAGTAGATATTTCATTTAAGGGAGGAAACACTACGAATATGCAAAAGCATTTGCTCACAAAACACGCGATGACACGCGTTTTTAATTCCGCTCCGGACTCGTGACTCTCAACCCAGCAGCAGCGCTAACGTTTGCACGTCCTCTCCCGTTAATGCGGCAGGTAAATAATCAACTAACAGTGCATATTATGTTAGCGCAATCTGCCTTATTACAAGACCTGCCATTACTGTACATGTAGGTGACCATGATGAGAGAGACAGACAGAGTCTGGCTGGCGCTCGCTGGCAGTTCTCGCTGCAGTCTACCGGTAGCGTCTCCTTTCAGGCCAGGATAGACGAATGTCACCGAGCAGTGACTCAGTTTGTGGTCAAAGGCTTGCACCCATTTGCCACAGCAGATGCCCCCGATTTTTGGTAAGTGAATGTGTTTAATTGTAGGCAGGGACATTACAGGATATTCTTGTGTAATTGCCACAGAACAATTTATGTTATACTTTGTTATTGCTACAGAAGAATGTTGCAGCTTTAAGGCAGGGATGACTCCTGGAGTTGCTTTCTCACTGCATATGCTTTATTTCACAATCAGATCGATTCGATAACAAAAACATACAGCAGCTCCTCTCCTACTCCTAGCCCTTCGCTGCGGTGGAAAAAAGAACGACTTCAATCCCCTTCAAGGAACATACGTACAAAATAGTTTTCCTGATACACCAATGGGGCGTTCAATGCCATCTTGTAAATATGAGTACTCTGTTTTCCTGATACACCAATGGGGCGTTCAATGCCATCTTGTAAATATGAGTACTCTGGCAGAGTAACAGTTCAAATGAAAAATACACCAGAACAAACAAGCAAACAAAAAAAGAAGTGTGGGGTACCTTTGAACCAATGAACAAAGTATAACAATTTATACTTTTTAACATAACCCGACCCCGTCAATATGTGATATGTCTCACAAGAATATTTATTTTATTATTTTACATTTACAATTTTTTTTCCTGGGGACCCTGTGACACCCCATTGAAGAGCCGTAGGCTGGATCTCTCAAGATCTCACTGTTGGGTTTGTAAGGCCATGTTACTCCTAAATTTCTATCTTGTTCAAAGAGAAGATATAAAACAAAGCTCTGAGCTAATCGACCTTAGTGTTCTCCTTTTTTAAAAAAAAAAAAAGAATCGATAAGAGAATCGATAAAGAATCGAATCGTTAAACAGAATCGAAAATGGAATCGGAATCGTTAAAATCTTATCAATACCCATCCCTAGGGAGAAGCGAGGAAGAGAACAGACACAATTTTGCACCGGAGGTTTTCGGGAAGCTTTTATTTTGGTATTTCCATTGATCCGTGCAATAAATTTGCATATTAGCCTAAACATTTAGATTTAACATTTAGCATTTAGATTTAACATTTAGATTTAGATTTAACATTTAACATTTAGATTTAAATATAATATTTAGATTTAGATTTAACATTTAATATTTAGATTTAATATTTAACATTTAGCATTTAGATTTAACATTTAGATTTAACATTTAACATTTAGATTTAACATTTAGCATTTAGATTTAACATTTAGCATTTAGATTTAACATTTAGCATTTAGATTTAACATTTAGCATTTAGATTTAAATATAATATTTAGATTTAAATATAATATTTAGATTTAATATTTAACATTTGATGAAAATTTACAAATATTTTACTAAATGTTGTAAAAAATTACTTGAAAAAACATGTTTTTGTAAGGTTTTGAGCTAAATGTGGAAAAATGTTGTCGTTAATTTCAGCATGTTTCACTTTACAAACGGCGCCCCATAGAGAGCTGGACACTTTTATCTGCACTAACAAGAAGAGGGGCCACGTCCTTCAGAACCACACAAACACTCCCTACACACTAACATCCCTCTGCCTATGAATAGATGTATTCACTGTTGTATTACTTTTGTATATAAATAAAGACAAGTGCAAGGACAGAGCGCACATCACAGGGCCCCACTCTGGTGGGAGCGTTCTGTGATCATGCCCTTGCAAGTAAAAGCTGCAGCGTCTGTGTGTTTCTACCTTTAGATTCTCAGCTGAAGAAGTGTCTTTAGAATAAATCTCTTGACACAATTAAATCTCAATCACAAAATGTGGATCACTCTTCATTGCACAAGCATGTGCATGTGTGTGTGTGTGTGGATCACTTCTCAGTGAATTGAATCAGCATTTCGACTTGTGTGTGTGTCATTTCTCACTCAATCAACGAGTGCAGATGTGTTCATATGTGTGTTTCTCTTCATTCTGAGTCGGTGTGTGTAGATGTGTGTGTTGGTTTACTTAACAGTAAATTACCATGGTAACATATAGCATGAATTTAACCTGCTCTGGCTTCAATTAGGGAATTATAAATGGGTAGTGTTGGCAACGGGACACACATGACCCACACTAGGCTGCCTTCATCCATCCTTTCCTCCTTCACTGAGACTCTGAGTCAGCATGTATGTAACAGGGTGGGTACCTACAACTACCTGGATGGTGGCAGTAACAGCAGCAGTAACAGCTACAGTATGTTCAACCCTGATTCTTTTGTCCCCAAACAGAGAAACCCAACTCATAGTGTGTTAAAATATTGATATTTCTTTTTATTCAATCATCTTCCAGAAGAGAGAGACCTCTGCACAGCTCAAACGCCAGCTGCAAGAGCTCTAACATTAGAATACATTAGAAAAGTATTGTAGACCTGCACCAGACTGGGAAGAGTGAATCTACAATAGGCAAGCAGCTTGGTGTGAAAAAATCAACTGTGGGAGCAATCATCAGAAAATGGAAGACATACAAGACCACTGATAATCTCCCTCGATCTGGGGCTCCACGCAAGATCTCATCCCGTGGGGTCAAAATGATCATGAGAACGGTGAGCAAAGATCCCAGAACCACACGGGGGGACCTGGTGAATGACCTGCAGAGAGCTGGGACCAAAGTAACAAAGGTCACCATCAGTAACACACTACAACGGCAGGGAATCAAATCCCGCAGTGCCAGACGTGTTCCGCTGCTGAAGCCAGTGCA